AGTGCATCTATTAGATGTGTCAGGTACTAAGTATAATAGCCAGATAAATAAAGCCCTGAACATACCTCTGGATCTAACACGCTGCCCAACACCTGATCAACACTGCCGAGCAAGCCGAGGCTCAACAACAGCCAGTGCAGCCTATCCAACCATCAGACCTGAGAGAGATTATTCCTCCCAAATCACGTCTAACTCAGGACTGCAAACTCCACCACCCTCCTAAGACATTTACAGATTTTTTTTTTTTGATTCTGGCATATTTTGCCTTTGATGCCTTAATTCCTCTTTGGCTATTTGGCTCCTCTCCAGAGGAGAGCCAGGGGTCCCAACCACAAGGTGACACAGTGGCGGTGAAGCACTACGGCAAACGGGAGCCCTGCAGCAAAGCACCAATCCTGCTGCCATCGGGTTCTTCTTGAGCAGTTAAAAGGCAGAAGACAAAGAGCAGAGGCCGACACTCAAGGTGGCCCCACCAGCAGCGGTGGGGAGTGCAGCTGCACCCTGGCCGGCACCTTCTGTTTGGATTTTCCTGGGAAGAGAGGAGATGGGGAGCATCCTTCACTCATCACCACATACTGCACTCACCAACATTTCAAAGAGCTCACGGTAAGACCTCAGCCTACCTTGGAAACTGAAGATGCCATGCAAATGCTTTATAGTATCAGTAAATTATACATGGTGCTACTAAAACCTTCTCAGTGGTTGCAGCAATTCACCAGCTCAGCATTTCATGCAAACTTGCCCACTTCAACGTGGCCAGCACAGTCCCAGACGAGGATCTCTGGACAAGGTGGCTGATGAGGACTGACCCTTCGGCTCCACAGGCAAGTTGAGTGAACAAGATGTGACAGTGAGAAGCTCCTGCAAGTGTTCACAGGGATATTCAAGATCAGCGCAAAAGACCTCTGGGCATTTTGGCTCAAGCAAGCACAAGCAGGGGCTGCCATGAGCAGGATTTCAATACGCTGCTTCTTTGGGTGCCACGTTTGGGAGTCTCCATGACATAACTGTGTAAATCCTGACCCGCACAGCATCACCTGAACTGTCTGTGCCCTTCACTCTCCTCCTCATCTTCAAAGCACAGCCAGGCAAGCTCTTCCCACAGGATCCAGGAAGCTTCTTCCACCAAAGGTTCTCCTGTTGGATCAATCTCCTCTAGGATGTTTTCTGAGAATTGTCCCTCCTGTTCTTCACTCGTTCACTGCTGACCACCCCAAAAATGCTGCCTACATCAGCAAGTGTCTGACCAAGGCTACTCCTGTGGAGATCTCACGGCTGCTCTGCAGTCACCAGTGATATCCTCATGCTCAAAGATAGTAAAAGTTTGTCTTTTTTTCCCAAGGAAATTGTTTCACTGATAAGAAGGAAGTTTTGCCGAAGTGCTGTCCAGCCACAGGAAGTTAACGACAGTCACATAACTTGTTAAATCCAGTGATATTTTATATAACAAAACTATGTTTTCGTGGCTTTGCGGAAAGGCAAATCACCAGTCATCTGGGTTTAAATCGTGTTCTCTTGCCCCCCTAAGCATATCTGTCTTTTAAAGTGACCTGTCCCTCACATCACTGCCTGCTCAGTAGGTTTCCCAGCCCGCACAGAGCAGAGTGAGCCCAGCAGGAGCTGCACCAGTGGTGAAGGATACAGCCAGCCCAGCAGGGAAGAAACCATCAGGGAGGTACCAGCCTGACAGCACAAAAAAAGAAAGGGAAAGACCAAGAGAAAGGGCCACAGTTTAAATATATTAACAACCCAACTGTTTAAAAGTGGTTAATACTGATGAGGTCTTAAACCCTTTCATCAATAGGAGTGGCCCAAAGACACATGCCCAGCCAGAAACACTGATTCGTACCCACAGCTTCTTATGAACTCCCTTCCAGCCAAAAAAGCACCCTGCGTAAAGTCGCATCCTGCCAAGTCCCCCACCTTCAGGTGCCCCTTTGGGGGGGCTGCTTTGCCCCGCAGCCCCCACTGAGGCTGGCCGATCTCCCTTCGGCAAACCTGCACCACCAATACATCTTCTTTGATTGCTGTTTCTGGCTGGCTGCATCTCGGGGATGGGAGAAAGTTAATTAGACATCTTAGCACCTGGGAAATAAAAGCCTTGATGACCTTCATTGACTCTATCGGAAAATAATTTAGGGTTGTTTAGCTTCCTTTCCGCGCTGAGCAGTTCATCAATTAGCGACCACAAGTAAAGCGTACGGTATTTTCTTTTTAGCACAATTTAATCCGATTTGCTGTTTCGTCACCCCTAACACTGCCATGTCCCAGATGATCCCAGTATTGATGGTTTTGTCCTCAACTTCTGACGCTTAAATGGGCAAAACATATTTTATCCTATAATTAAATGAAATGCTCTGCTAGGTGAACATTATCTTAAGTTTTACAGTATTATAGTGCTTTCTATCACCTCAATATATCACCATAGTTCTGTCACTCCAATGAGGTATTACTGTATTATTAGTGCAATACATCATTACGGCAAGGTGTTTTCATGATGTATTGCTTAAAAGATGAAGCCATCAGGAGGAAAAAGGAATCCATGAGCAGGCTCAGTATAATTACAGGATAAAAGGATACTTCATCATGAAATCTGGTAACGATTTGACCTGGAAGTGAATGAAAGCAGGGAGAACGGACGGCTAAAGGGAAAACAAGAAAAAACCCAAAATTTTCCCCCAGTGAGCAAAGGGAGAAGAGGAGGGTTTAGGACACGCCACAAACACGCCACTGGGTGTCCTTTTGGGTGCTGAATGACTCCAAAGGAACTGCAACTCCTTGTGGTTTATATATATATATATATGTATAAAACAAGTGAGTCATTGGAGCCAAGTGTTTACATTACTTCTCATTATATTCCCAGCAATAAATTACAACACGCAGCCCATTAATTAATTGGTAGTAGTGAAAAGTCCAATTTCTTTGGTGTGGTGCCCGTGCTTCTGCAAAAGGCTAATTTCAAAGCTTCTGCACTCACTGATAGCTACTTCTAAAAGCATTTTCAAGGAGTTAAACTAATTGTATGTATCACGAAACAAAAGAACTGCCAAGAACTGGCTCTCTGCTGGAGAGGGAGGGACAATGCAGAGGTGGAAGACCAAGAAGGAAAAATCTGTGCTGAGCTTGCACAACAGGCAAGCCGAAGGGCGCTTCAGAACATCAGGCAGGAAAAGAAAACATCGTTAAGTCTCATCACAACAAGAGTTGAGGAAAAAATAAATATCCTGCTTTTAGCCATTCATCTTAAAACCCAGGGTTCCAGACAATGTCAGACTAATTCAGTTTCACATACTGTAATGCACTTGGAGGTTTAAGTTTCCATCCGGGAAGTCCAAAAGGCAGTTTGTGCCATTTACGAGAAGAATTGTGTGCATTTAAACAACAGCTAGGCTATATTTAGCAGTGACTCTATCAGTCACACCTGACTGATTTTTGTTTAAAGGCAAGGATAAACCAGAAAGAGATTGGTCTCTACCTGAAGGACTCCCACGGCTGGTCCCTAGCCTCAGGCGGCTCCTCAAGTTTGCAGTTCAGGCTCAGATGAGCTTTGGGATTATTCAGTCCTGGTGAGCCTGGAAAGCCCACCGGGACCATATTATGAGAACAGGCTCTTTCCTCATCCCCATCACTGGAACTACACAGGTTTTTACCTGAAAAGGAATCTTCTTGAGCATGCTGGACCCGAGACCCTCACTAAGGCTGCCACAGCTGCAGTGTCCTGCAGCTCTACATCCCCAGTGGTCTCCATCTCAGCCTTTAACGCCTCCTCATGCCAATGAGGCTCATTTTGCAGGTTAAAAGATGTATTTAAGTTGTATTTAAGGCCTGTGACAGAACATAAACCTGACATCCCATCTTGCTGACGCGACACTTTAGACACGTGGTCCTGCCCATCCAGCAGTTCTCAGCCTAAACCCCACCTCGTCTGCCAGCACTGACAGCTCTGGTTTGGGGTTGTGATGTTCAAGTAAGTTGTTGGAAGACACAACCACTGCCAGAGTAATAAACATCATGATGCCAACACAGACAATGCTGGGATGAGCACAGCCCACAGGGCACAGGGACCACAATACACGAGAGCAGGTCTTTCCTAAAACACGCAAAACCAGATTGTTGTCCTGCAGACAGAAAGAAATCATGGGATTTAAGCAAAAAAATGAAGTGAGGATGCAGGCAGAGGCACAAAAAAAAAAAAAAAAGACAGCAGAAGCCAGTGGGGAATTGAGTAAATTATCCTTGGCGCTGCAAATCCTGAAAGTCCAGCTGAGAGTCTGCTGTTGGTTTAACAGACACCAGTAGCGACAGAGCTAGTGTCGTACCCCGTTTTGTTCCAATTCTATGGCAACTGAACCAGCAGCATTCCCATGCTGCTTTCTTCTTAAAACATAATAAGAGATAAAATCTACAAAAGAGGCTGAATTAGTTCATCCTCATTAACTTTCAGTATTTGACACATCCACCAATCCTCTAAAAGATACGAGATCTAGAGTGAACCTTGGGATGGTGATTTTTCATCTAGAATAAGCTTAAAATTAGGATAAGAAGCTTTTTTGTTTGCAGAGGCTAAAGGAGTGCTGGAAAACTGATGCTATGGTAAATCCCAGCCAAGCTGAAATGGCTAATTATCATCCTGTTAAAAAGCACCATTTGTTTTCTTTACCCAGTTGGTACGTTTTTACTCTGCCGGGTGAAAGAGAAAGGAAACATATTAAAATGCTCTGCTTGTGTACGCTCCACTCGTTGGCTATTTGCTTTCAGCGTTATCTACCCTCGTCGGGAAGATTTTTTTCACATTATCCTTTTACTCGCAGTTCTAGCATGATTATGGTAATCCAGAAAAATAGCTGCTAAGAGTAGCTGGGGAAATGCACCTTTATATCTGAGGTATTTTTAACAAGAGCTGGGACTTCCACATTTGAGAGAGAAGCCAACAGACAAGCTGCACATCTGTCCTCTGTCCATCCAGCTGCTGCCGGGTACCGGCACAGTTAACTCCTCACCTGCGGTCCCCAGCCGTGGCACGGGTACATTATTGCTGTGTGGTTCGCCAGCGGGCCCTGGTCAAGGCACACGTCTTTCGCCTTGTTATTTCGAAGCTGTAAGAAATAAAAAATGCAGAGTTACAGGGCTCTGTCTCTTCGGAGATAAGCAATAAACTGACGTGCAGCAACGCCTCTCCTGCTATAGAAAGACTATACGGTGCTATATCACCAGGCACAATCAGGCAGGGAAAGGTTTAGTGTGCCATATGTTTTCCTTAAATACAGGGTCTAATGATGACTGCTTTTATATAATAATCACCATTCAAAAGAGCCAACTTCCTTGAACACAGTTTTCTTTGTATTTGGTCATGTGTGGTGGTAACAAACATATTTTTAGACTGCCGTCAGCACGTTGCCAGGAGCCTGAAATCGATGCAGCATCGCTTGTATTTCATTGAAATCTCAAAAGTGCTCTAGAAGGCAGGAAAAAAAGTCCAGCGAGCACAAGGAACCCCTTCCAATCGGTTGCAGGGTTGCAGGAGGAGGCACAGAGATGGCAAACCAGCTGTCAGTTACTGCAGGACACATGGAAGTGCCGGGTTCATGCTACGAAGCCATCCACCCTCCAGGAGGTGTGGGAACACAGAGCCGTCCTCTCTTCAGGTTCCCCATGTAGGGCAACTACAATAATGCCCTGCAAAATACCACCTTTTTGAAAAAAAAAAAAAAAATCCCTCTGAGAGATTTTAGCTTGAAGGCTTTAAGTACCTGTGATCACAAATCTTTCTTAAAAGTAATGCCCCCATCTGCAGTGCCCGGGCTGTGCAAACCGCCACTATTCCACGAGACCTATTGCAACAGAGTATTATTAATTCCCATAAATGCCTGTTTTCCTGTTCCCAGTATGGTCTCAAAGCCAGCAGAGATTGAATTAAGTCTCCTTACTTTATCTCATCCTTAAGCGGTTGTGACAACGCACTGTATCCTACAGAGACCTTGTAAGGAAGCAAGCTGAATTTAAGTCAAAGGGTTTTATAAGATGACTACGTATTAAAAAAATACATACAGCTGCTTAATCCAATATAGATAATTTTCTGTCAATTCAGTAAATGAGGTATTAAAATATTTTACTGTATATGGTCTCCAAGATGAGAAATAAATCCCAAAATAGGTTTTCAGAAGAAACTGTGAGCAGATTTATATGTATTTATATAATTATACAAAATCAGTAGGTTTCGATTCACATTCCTCTCTTTTGAGGCTATTTCTCAACAGAGACTTACCAACTGTAAGTATTACCAGTCTGACCTAAGGGACTGCTCAGTCTTAATTACCTCGCCATAAGCGACGGTGTTGTTGTATCTTCTCATTTCTGGATAAACGTGGTCCAGGTACCACTGGAAATTTTTACATTTCAAGCTCTTCCTTAATGCTTTTCTCTCGGAAACATCCCCAATGTCAATACCTGGATTCTGAAAAATAAAGAAACAACACACCACTGAATGGTATCATCTTAATAAAGATTAAAAATGAGCCTATTTCACCGATGTTTGATATCACTCCTGAGCCACTGGAAGCTGCCAGCGTCTGAGAAACTCCACACAGAGGCCATGCAAGGGAATTTCAGCGCATGTGTCCAAGCTGAAATCATCCTCACAGAAGTCTGAAGGAAGGCTTGGGTTTCAGAGCCACAGCGAGAAGGAGACATGTACTTACAGGTTTGAAGGTATCCCTGTAACGGCCACCAGACTGATGTCGGACATGTTTTGGTCCTGGGAGGTAACTTAGAAAAGAGGATCCAAGTGAAGAAGAAAAGGTTTGGAAGGAAATACAAGGTGAATCTTCCCACTGATACCGCTGGGCTTTGGATCCGTCTGAGAAAGACTGAATCTACCAGCAGGCACAAGGACAGAAGTATTTTCAAATGATCTCGCCTCCCTTTTAGGTACTGATGTACAGGACTTGAAGAAGCGCTTAACAGCAAATGTACACCAGGATTTAAAAGGTGGTCACGTGCTGAATTGTGGAAATGCAACCCCCTGACTGGGCACTGAGCACCAAAACCCTGTCCCTTACGCACCCAGGTGGTGGGGTCACACTAAGAGGCAGCGCAGAAGACAGCACAGTTAAAAGCTATAAAATAAGGGCGGGAGAGAAAAGAAGGAAAAAAAGTTTAAGATTCATATAAAATAGAGGCAGGTAGCTATGAATCAAGGATAAAAATTACAGGAGAAGAGAAGTTGAGGCTGAACCTTGGAAAAACCTCTTGACAATGTGGACAATTACGCAGTGAAAGAGTCTCCCTGGAGACACAGAGGAACCCCACTGCTCGAGCCGATTTAAAAGCAGCCAAAGCTATGATATCTGTCCCCAGGGGAATAATCTTAGAGCAGCCAGGAGCAGGGGCTGAAAGGAGCTTCCCCCTTTAACCTTCCATTCTATTAGAGAATTTTGGGAACTACTGCAGCAGCCAGGTGAAGGAAACCAAAGGCACCTCGAAGCCCCTTTTACTCCTTCCTACAGGTGTCTGGTTTTCTACTCTATTTTAGTTCTTGTCTTTCAAAGTGATCATTAAATACAGCTGGGAAAGCAATTTTCCATTACAATGCTTGTAATGATCTTCTAATGAATTATTCACTCTGCTTTAGAGCAGACACCATTTTAATGCACGACTCGTAGCTCATAGGTAGAAATAAAGATGATTCAGTGTAGACAGGTAGGACAGGCTGAAATCTGAGTGGCGAGATGGGACACAGAGCAAAGTGGGACCACAAACCAGTCAGCACCTGAAATACTCAGTGCAGGGGGTTTGGCTTGGTTCTGAATAGAGTGGCACCACAAAATAATTCAGTGTATATCCACAACCCTCTGCACAATACCACCTGTCAAATAAGGCTTCTCTAAGATTAAACCTCCATTTTACTGGTAAGATCTATATAAAAAATCTCAAACTGTTTTTAGATCTGTTTCCCCAGACCCACCCTCAGAGCTGATTCACGTGATTTCCAAGACCTGCAGCTTCCCAATGAAATTTAACCTTTTTTTGTTATGCTCCAAAGCTGTTCCTGAGCAGCAGCATGGGGCTTCACCTCTAAAAAGGAGCAGGGACTGGGGCTGAACCCACAGTGATTTATGATCCCTGCCTATGGGCATTTGGATCTTGCAACCAATATTTAAAAGAGACCTGGAATTGCTCAGTGCCGCCAGCAACTCGCTGCCTCTCCAAATGCTTAGAGCGGTGCCTGCCACAGCCAGTGCCCTCCTGCAGCTTGCTGGGTAAGCAGCGTTTCTTTCCACCTCTATTCACCTGTTTCTCAATAACGAACTAACCCAGGAATTCCCACCACCCCCAGGACGACAAATGGGCACTGCGGATACCTCATCAACCCTTCCCTGTACCTGTTGTTCTCTAACGCAATACAAAGTCGTGACTATCCTGGCTCCAAACGCCAGGAACTCTCCCCAGACATAACCTTTACTCAGAAAGCAGCAGCAGCTCATGTTTTTATGTTTCCATATTTTTGAGAATGCCTCGGAGCACAGCGCTGCCAGCTTGGGACGCTGCCGCTGCAGGATCAGGATTGCAGCAGCTCTTTGCCAGGGGGTTGATCCGCAAGGTATGAATATTTTGTGTTTATTTTCAGCACCAAAAGGATGGCTGTCAACAACGGCTCACGTGCGGTCTGGCCACCTCTTGGACTGCGCAGCCCAGTGCTCGTGCCTAAGTATGCTGCAAGTGGAGTGCATGTTGGGGGGCTCTGCAGGACACCCCTTATCCTCATCCCACCCACAACCTGGAAAGCATTGCTGCCTGCCTTTCCCCACTACCTCTTCTTCTTCTGGCAGGACCAGAGGCAGGAGATGGGGTGACTGTCCCAGCCAGGGCTGCTCCCAGAGTGCTCCAGGCAGCTTTCAGTGCCGGGAGGCTGGAGATGCTCTTGTGTTTCATGGTTAGGTACGACCTGCACAGAGACGGGAGCCCAAGCAGCAGCCTTGGACATACATAAAGTCCTCCTGGAGCCTATAGCACCTTACGCAGAAAACGCAGGGAATCACCTAGAGAGGTCCATGTGAATGATGTGTCCCCTGGGCATGGTCAGCTTGTGTTGCTGGTGGGACCCCATGGTTTTCTAAAAACACACCATGCTGCAACACGGAACGATTTACATGAAAAATAACATGTCAGACCTATGAAAATCTAACAGGTTTTGTGCAGAAATAAATACAAACATCACAGCTATTTAAAGAGAGCGTCTCTGGAGCACCTGCACATGGTGCTGCTGGGAGACTATCTCCTTCTGCGAGCCACCAACCTCTGCTCCTTTACCTCTGAACACGGTTTTTAAGCGCTAATGGCCTCAACATTCCCAATGCTGGCAAAGCAAATGGCCTAGGTACCCTGACCACACACCTTCCTCCGTGAGCTTTGGGTGGCAAGGGCATCTGTGAGCTGGGAAACCTGAGCTGGGCTGCACGTGACACGGACCTGCCCGAGCCATGAGGAAAAAACCTTGTACACTAACAATGAGATGAATAATCTTCTGCCGACCAACTTTATACACAGACTCTGTCTGCGGAGCGGTGTCATGGCACCAACTCACACCGTGTGAACACAGGGAGATAAACACTACAGTACAGGTTTGATTCTTAGAAATTAAAATAAAAAGGCTGACATCAACAGTACAAATTCCTCCAAAGTTTGCAGGTTTTGCAGCATCTCCATCAAAACAGAGGGAACTCTGCTGACTTTCACAGCTGCGGATGCGACCCAGGGTATTGAAAGCTCTCCTACACCCAGAGGCACTAAATGCTCTATAATTCAGGTTTTAACTCAAGGAAATTAAGATTAAGGATAGGGAGCAATGGTCGTACCTCCAGCGGCAGGTTCCAGGCGATGTAGACGTGCCATTTGTAGTCGTCCATCCACACCTCGGCCACCCGCAGAGCGTTGCGCTTGGTGTAAAACCCAATGTTGTTGTTGTAGGGCTTCTTCTTGCGCTCGATGTGAGCCACCCTGGAGCAGGGCAGGACCTCCATGCTGCCGCCACACAGCCAGACCTGCAACACAACCGCACAACATCTGCTGCGATGCAGAGAGCTCACATATAAATTAAAGGGGAAGAAGTGGTGGGTTTTGAGGTTTTTACAATATCCTGATGAGCACGGAGCATCACATCATCTAGCTAGCAAGCAGAAACCCATGGCCACGTCTGGTCTTTGCTCAACAGTGACACACACAGGGAGAAGAATTCAACCTGTGCCCAGAGCAAAACATGTGTCAACTTCAGAGGGATCAAGTCCATATCCAGCATGAGGTACGAATGCGTTGTAGCATTGGATGCTGAGTTTACAGTGATGTTGCTCCTAAATAAAAAGAATTAGTGACTGGAACAATTGAAACAATTGCAAGATCTCCTGCAGAAGGGATGACTCAGGGAAACATATGGCAGAGACAGATTTCTCCCACTAGAAAACATTTGTTCATTATTTTTCTTTCACATGTTGTTCAAAATTCCCTTAAATCACAGTTTACAAGTTAATAAAATCTTTTGAGATCTTCTTTATATCAGACAGAACGAGAATTCACAGGAAAAATTTGCCATACCTGGGTTCTTCCCCCCTTCTCTTTGCCCTCCCTCAGAAGTTATTTATCTTAAATTAAAGATGCATACCCAGGACACCAGGCACTGGGCAATCGTTACAAACACATATGCCCAACAAGCCTAATATTCCCGGTTTCGCCTATTTTGCAGTCTGCTCCACATTATCATTTTGCACAGTTGTTATAACACCCATCGTTTCTGGGATCTCTTCCAGGCTCACCACCTTCTATCCCATCTGCGCTCCCTAAATTTTAGGGACCCTGCTCAACCCACTCTCCTGGCAGCACGAGGAGCCTCCAGGCTGCCCTTCTGAATCCCTAAGTGGTGAGTTTAACCCACCCAACGCAGGGGACACGCACACCCCAAGCCCAGGTGACCCAAGGGAGCTCTTCCCTTGAGGTAATTCTGCTGCTCATGCTGTTCTCACTCAGACTGCTGCAGAATATAGGAGCTCACAGCAAAAAAATCAGAGCCCTATTTTACTAGCTGGTTGCTTAAGATATTCTATTTATTGCAACTAACAGCATTAACAGGACCATCAGTCTAGTGTGGTGCTTCTGTTAATTCCTTGAAGAATTATCTCTTAGTAGATGGGGCAATCAAGAGCCAGCACAACATTAAGACTAATCAGGAAAATAAGGTATTGCCAAATTAATTCATATTGAGCCTATTTAACAATGTAGAGTCTGTTATATTGCCTCCTACAAAGGATGAAATCACGATCATTTTATAAAATATGCATGCACGGCATGTAAAGGCACGTTTCAAGACGCAACACAGCAGGTTATATATGATGAGCAAGTCTCAAGTTTCTCCTTTGTTTTCTGCCATTCAAATTTCAACACGACTATTAGCTTGCCATTCATCCACCCGTAAAGAGACGCAGAATTAAAAATAGAAGCATTCCCCTCCAGTACATGACGGTGACTCAATAACTTCTTCGTCAGACTACACACAGGAATAATCAAACACACAGAGAGATGCTTGGGTTTATAAATAACCACTTAACAGTAAATTCTAGTGAAGAAATCCAAGAGAAACAAACAGAAAACAAATCCATCACCCAGAGATCTTTGATGTCTTTTTCAGAAAGCTGGTAGGTAATACACTTGCAATTATTTTCCAAGGAAAATGTGACTGTCCTAGGAGCTCAGCATGGAAAAGCAGTGATTCCTCTCAAGCAGTGAAACGCCCGAGTACAGCTGAAACTGCACCACACAATCTACTTCCTAGAAGCCTTTGCGCATGTGCGAGGCAAACTTTGGTCAGCATAAGACTTCATCATCATGCTCCAGAGATGGAGCAACCCAGCTTTGCTTTCTTATCACCATTCAGATGCACAAAAGCATCGTGGGTGTGCAAAAGCACTTGTGAAACAGCCACCTGCACTGGGGATAACCCAAAACTGGGGAGTACATTTGGTGTGATGCCACACGGCAGCCGAGCTTCAAGGGAGGTCCAGGGGCTTCCCTTGTGCAAATGTACCTCCCAGCCAAGGCATCAGCGTCTCCTCTGCCATCAGCCAGCCTTCAGGCTTCCATTTGCAAAATCCAAGTTGTTTTTGCAATGCTCTTACGGAGCACTCTATGCGTCTTCACTCCTAGGACACGTCCCTTGTTCAGCTAGGACATGAGTAACTGCCGCGTTTGGGAGCATCCTGAAAACAACGGTGACCGGGCTTGTTAGACGGGACCGCAGGCAAACCAAGGGAGGAGGCGACCTGGCCTTGCCTGGGTACTGCACTCCCGGTAACGGAGGGAGAATGAAAGACTGCTCACAAAACACTGAGTACCCATGGTCCTTCCTGCATTTAATAGAGACAGCGGGAAAATCCCAATTTTGCTTGACCAGCTCCTTGCAGCAGCTGCAGGAACTATTTTCCACGTGTTACGCAGTTAAGAACAATTACTGTCCATGATCCCCTTTGCCCTCAGAACTGTACTGCAGCTATCAATTTGCTTTGCTCCCGTCTGCCAGATCCAGCAATTACTCCCAAGGAGAATTATTTAAACAAAAGGGCTTTTGGCAATCTGCCTGCTGTCAAAGAAGCCAGCCAGGCAGAAAGGGTGACGCAGAGAAGTTCCAGTACCCAGAAGGGTGCAGAAAGCTCAAGGCATCATTCCTCTCCCTAGGTCTTCTGCAAGCAGTCCTTGCTATGCCATGATGCCCAGCGGTAGAGAAGCAAAAGGTAAAATTATTAAGTTATGGAGAATATTTCATCAGAAAATACTGACTCAGGGCTGCTTCCCCTGGGATGTCGGAATAGCTCGTATATCCCACTTCTCTTCGTGTGGCTGCGAGCCATACAAGGGAATTGGGGCTCACCATCTGGTATTTTTGCACAGAGAAAGCCAACAAGAGAAAGAAAGACTTCTGCAAGATCGGAAGCAAAACTGGGGCTGGTCCCTCAGCCCTTCCAGCCAGGATGTCCTTCCCCAGCACAGCACCTCCTCCTCTCAACCATCAGCATTTCCAGATGAAAAACCATACTATTGGCACCCCTGGACCACGGTCTTACATAATGCTGTGCTTTCTTCTCACCCCTGAGATATCATTCATAATAGTAACAATAAAAACAAATGAGAAGGGACAGTGACTATCTTGGGTCCTTGACATGGCATTCTAGCTGGAGCACAATGTGACATCTGTGATGAACACTGACAGCTCCCATTAAAGGATCTTGACTTTACTTGCTTATAACTTTGCCAAATTTTAACTATTCAGACTGAAAAATATCCTAGCAAAGCTCAAGCCTGCCTGCAGTTAATGCAAAGAGACGTCATGTCTAATGGTGTCAAGATGAGTCTGTGGGTAAACTTTTAATCTCCGAATGTACTGTGACAGAAGGAAACAAGGGGGAAAAAAACCTGCTCCTAACTTTCATTACATAAACTCCAGGCTTTTTTAGCTGATAACTTCATTTCTAAGGCGATTAACAAACCCATGCCTTAATTAGCAATAGATTTCTCATTTAACAGCTTTTCCTTATCTGCACCCCCCTCTTTCCTTTTAAAAGTAACTTCCTAAGTTGAAGAAAAAAACCACAATTACCGAGGGCAGCTAAAAGAAAAAGGAATATATCAGAACAAAGACCTAAATAATAAAACTGAGAAAAAGCAAAAAAGACAAAGAAATAATCATTTCTCCACATGCTCCCTCGTATAGTTCTGAGAGATGGTATCTCTCCCAATCCTTCCATTTGTCAGAAGAAATGACATGCAGAAGAAGAAATGACACACAGCTACACAGCTGAAGCAGTTTCTATCCTTTCTGTTCCCGCTTTGGCCGTGCTGTTATTTAAGTCAGCAACCTCAGCACACAGCAAAGACGATGTGTTGACCTTACTTCCTCCAGAAAGCCCTGTGGTTTGGTACTTACAAATGTAACTTAGCATTATTACCTTTATTTCCCTGGCTCAAGGCTCGTGTATCACAGCGGCGAGAGGCACACACCACAGCAAGCCTGTTAAATTCAAATTCTGCTAAATAAACACCTCCATAGGATCAGCTGGTGTCTGTTCATCAAGTTGCATAACCCTCACACACAGCAAGATGGATAACTTTTTATATTTTTCTATATACTTTTTATATATATATATAGCCTATAATCATCACTGAAGTGCTCCTTCAAGCTATTGTGAATGCCACTCTCTCATGTAACACTCACAGCATGAACTTCAGTAGAAATGTTAAGTTGAATTACACGAAGATGAGTTAAGAAACTGCAAACAGAGATGGTAAAAAAAAAAGATGGAAAAAACAGGTCTCTTTGGGAACTTTTTACTTCCACCCCAGTGGAATAAAGTATTCATGATCCCTGCAGGGGGACACAAGCACTCCTTGAAGAAGATTGCTTTTCAGTTCGGATCCATAGATTTTTCACAGATCACATCAAGGGAGGACTGGGCGTGTGAGAATTTATGCAAAAGCAGACCGTACCACCTTTGAGGCCGTTTTGCTATAGATCCAGCAAAGGTGCACTGGTGTATCTACAGTCACAGCCAACAACCAGACCAACCAGATGGTGAAGCATTTCTAAGCACGAAGAGGGACAAACCCTCTGGACCACTGAGCTCAGAAGGCAACGCCACAAGGGCAGGGACAACATCTGCACGGATGGATCCAACACAACTTCATCCTGAACAACAAATAAATTATCTTAGAAACTTCTGCAAAGAAGTGAAAGATACTTGATATCCTACAGCTGAAACAGGAAAAGAAATTTTGTTGCTAAACCTGTAGGTTTCTTTTTTTCTGTCCTGAGGCCATGAAAAACCTTTCTGAGGCGATTAGGACCACACAGCTAGATCGTGTGTGGTATTCATGTTCTCCACAGAAGATGATTTGAAGAAGAATGGACCTTGTCATAAGCTGACCATCTCAGACCACGTCAATTCAAGCAGAGAATCAAAGTGAGAGGAGAAAGTAACTGCTACATTTAATTTTTTTTTTAATC